TGCTTGATGCATATCTATTTCTTTTAACTAGAAATCGAGTATTCTATTCATACTAAGTCAAACAAGTGGAATCAAAATGTCATAAATTTTTTAGGCAAAAATTCATAAGTTTTCTAAAATATATATTATACATGCGATTTATATTTTTAAAATTTTATTTTGTATTGGAATATAACCGATGAACAACAATTGTGATGGTTTCAGGTGACCAGCAAAGGGACTCAGACATACATATACTTCTATCCATTCTCTCCCAAACTCCCCTTGCATCCAGGTTTCTACGTAACATTGAGCAGGGTTCCATGTGCTATACAGTAGGTTCAAAATTCTCTTTATCTCCACTTAACCGTTCCTTGAGACCCATCTGAAGGTTTCAATTCCCCTCCAGAAAGCTTTCTCTGACCTTCCTAATTTAGAGGGATCTCTCTCGTCTTTAAATTCCTACATTTACTGTCTTCAAAATGTTTAATTTTCTGCTTTGAATCGTTGGTTATTTCTTCATATATATTTGTTTTCCTCCAGTTTTGACTGTCAATTCCCAGAAGACAAGGACCATCTGTTATACTACTCCCACAGGATATAGCACAGTTAGTGACCCTAAATGATTCAAATTCGAGGTTAGAAGGCATTCCTCCTGCCCTTGAGTGATCCCATTCCCAGGTGGTATCACCTGAGTGATCCCAGTCCCAGCTGAGGAACTGACAGCGCAGCTGCCGAACTCTAACCCTGGGGTGAAGGTCAAACTATGACAAGGAGGTTGAAAGGGCTGAAACAATCCTTTGAGTTCAAGGACAACCCAGGACAGTTTGCTATTTGAACCGTTTGAGTTAGAAAGGGCAAAGGTAAAGCCACCAAGATTGCAGTGAGCTCACTTAGGGCTCCCCTTCGATCACAGGGAATCATTTTTGCATTTGTCAGTCTAGCCAGTGGTTCTAGAATCCTACCATTGGGGAGGGGAGGAGGGAGAGAATGTGTACATGGCTATATGCAGAGTCAGTTTCAGGGGAAAAATAGCAAAAGGTTGTTTCAGTGATGAACTGTCAGTAGTCCTTTTGCTGGCAGAAGAATCAGCACCATCACAAGCAAAGTCAAACAAACAAATGAACAAAAAATCTCTAAGTCTTAGATATTTACCAATCCTTTTCAATATGTAAGGTATAAATAAGTTTGCTCTTGTTAGGGAATCTGATTCTGTCATTAGACCAGAAGTTTTCAACCTCAGCACAAGCTACATTTTCATTTGGGTACTTCTTTGTTGTGAGAACTGTCTTGTGTGATGTAAGACGCTGAGCAGCATCTCTGGCCTCCACCAACTAGAGGCCAGTAGCGCCTCCTAGTTGGGACAAACAAAAAAGTCCCCAGACATGATCTAACTGCTCCTCCTGGAGAACCACTGAATTAGACGTGTGGCCTCAAGCATGCTGCTGGCCCTCTCTAAAAGTTAGTTTCTTCATCTCTAGGATGATTGTTGTATAAGTAAAGTCCAGTATAATGGGGTAACAATTTCACAAATCTCAGGCCTCAGAAGCAGATGAAACTACGACAAGGATGTCAGAATGGATGAAGCAATACTATGGATCAGGATGGGACTTTAAAGACCAAACCACAAGGACTGCAGATTGAAACTCAAAGGCCAATCATACACTCAGCACTTTTTCTGGTCCCACAATCATGACTTTGTCACATATGTGCATACCTGTGTTGTTCCTACTGAATTGTAAATTTAATCTGGACTGGAACTGTCTCATTTACTTTTCTATTTCCCCCAATATTTGTTGTAATGCTTTTCAGGTAGTATGTAACAATTTTAAAATGTTTTCAAGCAATTAGCATGGGGCGTGATTAATAGAAAGCTTGGTGAAGATGAATTAAAGTCAGGCAATACTCTGAGGGCTTGACTGGCAGTGGGGATGTAGGGAGGTCACTTGGCTCATTTGGGGAATATAAGACTTGCCAATGTGGAGTGAGTTGGGAATAAAAAGTAAGTTGGTATAGGACCATAACTAGTTATCCATTTATATATTATTTAATGACTAAAAGGCATTTCCATATTGACTGTCTCATTTTATTCTCACAGCCTCATGAGGAAAGGACGGCATCAATCCCATCCTCTAGAAGAGGAAACAGAAGCCCAGTAGGTTAACCTGAGCTCATGTCCTAAACTTTTTATGATGTGTTGCTCCATTTCTGTAATTGTGCAAGTGGAGGTCAGTGATGAAGGGGGAGTAGCAAATGAAGGAAGTGGAAGACCAAGAGGCACAAAAAGCCCCTTTCTCTTTCACAGGAAGCTGCAGCCTTGAGCAAATAGGGAAGAGGTGGCATGCTCTGAGACTGGGGCCACACAATGCTAGTAGCTTCCTCAAAACAAAGACTTGAGTCAGCCGGGCTCTGGCACCACCCCGCCTGGGCTCCCACAGGGTGCTGGCTGATAGACCAGCCTGAAGGATGCAGATGAACCACCTGCCTGTGTGGGCCTTCCCCTCACCTGCCTGGCTGTGCACACTTCCCTAAGGAGATGCGACAAACAGAGGCTTCTTAAACACAATCTCTGGGTTGATCTCCACATGAACTGGCTCAGAAGAACTGAGCGTGGGGGTGAGGGTGGGAGGAGAGAGTGGCATTCTGGGTGGAGGAGGTGAGGTGAGTAAGAGGTGGGGGAAGCGGGCAGGGATGGAGACGCAGTTGGAGACATAGGGCGGGGGGCCATGTCATGGAGGTCTTCTGTGCCATGAGATGGAGAGTCCTTTTGTGGTTGGGAGTGTGTCATGTCTGAGAGAAGGGAGATCCTGAGCAGGGGAAGGAATAGGAATGGAAGAGACAGGTTCGAGGAAAATTTTAGTTAAGAGATTGTCAGGGCTGCGTGACTGATGGACTCGAGCTCATACCAGTGCCCGGCCCTGGGCTAAGAGCTCCTGATATACATCTTAATGAATCCTAATACTGCTTCGAGGTATGGAATATTGTCCTCACTGACAGATGAAGAAACTGAAACTTACACAGGTTTAGTGAACCAAGATCGATGGTGCACAGCTGGGAAGCATCAGAACCAGGATTCAATTCCTGGTCTGTTTGGCTCAAAAGCTTTGCTCTTAACCATCTTGCAGTACTGCCTCCAAAAGGATGGGATTAGGGAGAGGGTAAGGTGGAGGATCACTCTCAGATTTCTCGCAGAGGTAACTGAGGAAATGGACAAGGCAGGAGGGAAAGCAAGTTGGAGGAGGATGGGTTTGGTTTTGAGTCTACCTTGTGTTGTCAGAAAGAGCAAGTTTGGACTTTCCTGGTGGTGCGGTGAATAAGAATCCTCCTGCCAATGCAGGAACCACCGGTTCAGTCCCTGGTCCAGGAATATTCCACATGGCTTGGGGCAACTAAGTCCTTGTGCCACAATTACTGAGCCTGCGCCCATGAACCACAACAACTGAAGCCTGCACGCCCATGCTCTGCAACAAGAGAAGCCACTGCAAAGAGAAGCCTGTGCGTCATGACCAGAGAGTAGCCCCTGCTCTTTGCAAGTAGAGAAAGCCTGTGCACAGCAATGAACACCCAGCACAGCCATAAATAAATAATTAAAAGAAAACTTCTTTAAAAAAAGAAAAAAAAACCAGCAAGGTTAAGGGGGCTGTGAATGAGGAATACCCATGCATCTCCCCATGCCCCCTACCCTTTCTGAATCACACACCGGCCTTGGAACACTCAGGGATCTGTTCTGACTCCCCTTTCCTGCTCTCCAGGGAGAAAATGGTAAGCTGTCCTAAGACACAACCAGACAATAGGTGCTGGAGGCAAGGCCGCAAGGCCTGTGGAAGTCAAGGACTGTGAAGGGGCAGAGGCTGATGAAAAAGAATTAAAAGCCTGCCCCCCCCCCCCACCTTTTTTTTAACAGAAAGAATCTGATCTATTGGGTACTGGCCCACACCTCCTCAAGCCCAGGCTACGCTGTCTACTCCCACCTGACAACTTTGAGCCTTCGGGGTCAGCACTCATAGGTTTCCAGGAGTGCTCTAACGCTAAAGGGCCTGAGGTTACAGGGTCAGTGTGATCACCACTGGAGTGCAGTTGATGATGGAGACGGTGAGGGGTCCACAGAACGGTCTTTGATTCTTTGCCCAGCATTCAGGCGGCAGGAAGGCTCCCTTGTATATGTGGCCCCGGGGCCCCCAGGAGTGGGATGAGAGAGTGGGAGACCCCCTGTTCTCTGAGGGTCAGGAATAAGCAGCATCTTGTTTCTCAGAAACACGACGGTGCTTTCCTTATCACCTTTCCACAGGAGCAGGGCCTGTGAACCAGAGAAGACATCAAAGGAAGCCTAAGAACCACAGGACTTCTGGCAAGGAGGCCAGAACTTAGTGTTCTGATGACACCAGAGAGGAGGAGAGCAGAAGGTAAATGGCTCTTTCCTCCTCCTCATCCAGCCCCCTCAGGCCAGGGGCTCCTCAAACCCAGGGGACATGCCCTCCTCCCACACCAGTCTTTATCCACCAACCTTTCTAGCGTCTTCTCTCACCTGTTGGCTGTCCCTGGCCTCAGGCAGGAAGACTCCGCCTCTGTCCTGCTGCCTTCCAGCTCCTGTCCCTCCTCAGCTGCAGTCAGGGAAGTGCTGCTGAGCCTGTCACTTCTGGACCCTCTGCATTTTTACCAGAAGGACTAACCGGGCCAGGGTAACCACGAAGAGCCTCTTATCCGAGGACCAGCTGGACCTCTTATTTCGTAAGTGTCACAGCTCCCGGATGGATGGGGTGAAGCTGAGATTCTAAGGTAGACCCAGGGACAGGGGGAATGGCTAGAGGTGGCCGACCAATCGGGTGACCTTGGGCAAATGTCTCCTCTCTCTGATGCATGACGACTTGGGCTGGATGATCTCCGAGGGACAGTTGGGCCTTGAAGGCATAGGGGAGGCCACACTGGGGAGGCTGGGGGCACACTGGAGGCTCTGGGCAGGGACAGCTAGCCACCCAGACCCACCTCTGTCTCCAACCACCTTAACTCTGCCAGCAGGAAGAATGGCACCACCTGTGGCCCAGCTCCTCTTCCTCCAGGTTGTTCTAGGGCCAGCTTTGGTTGAAAACATCAGGACTCAGTTTGCCATCAAGAACTTCCGTAACTTACACGTTGACTATCCCAAGGTTGACTACGCCAAAGGTTTCCAAGGTTACTGCAATGGTCTGATGTCCTATGTCCGGGGCAGGCAAGAAAGCTGGTATTGCCCAAAGATCCATTATGTCTTACATGCCCCTTGGACAGTCATCTGGAATTTCTGCAAGTACAGTGAGAGCTTCTGTGAGAATTACAATGAATACTGCACGCTCACCCAGGACTCCATCCCGCTCACAATTTGCTCCCTGTTCAAAAAACAGCCGCCCACCAGCTGCCGCTACAATAGCACCCTGACCAACCAAAGGATCTATCTGCTCTGCTCTGAAAAGTACGATGGTGCACCCATAGATATCATTGGCCTCTATTAGGAAGGGAGGCCTTCGGTCTGAAACCACCCCCCCCAGTGCCGCTGCTACACACTAGCCTGTCCCCACTCCCAAAGCTCAGATTCCTGGTACAAGGCTTCCTTTCTGGCTTCACAGGCAGGCAGAGTCTCCTCCCAAGAGACCGGGGAGGCAGGAAGTATGTCCAGACTTTTGGTCACCATGCAAAGTTGTACTGTCTTCTAGGACTTTTCGGTCTTGTTTCCCTCCCCCCACCACCCCCGCCACCATTCTCCCTCTCCCACAGACTGTTTTACCCACCCAAGAAGCTGACTGTGTCCAGTTGGCAGCGACTGTCCATCTACTGGGCCAGATCCTGAATCCTGGCCGGAGTCCCAGAGCCTCAGCTCACACCATGGCACCGGTTCCGAGTCTCAAATCCTCTCCCCTGCCACCTTTCCCTTCTGGGTCCTCCCCATCTCCCTTACGATTCCCTCCACTTGCTCACCCATACTGTGGGTATCTCTAGCTGTAAGACCCTCCTTGAGAGTCTTAGACTCATATTAGCTTCATTCTTCCAGGACATGCCCCTCAGCTCTCAGTCTCCCGTTCAGTCTCTCCCCCACACTTCCAACCTCTTTAGTCATCCTGTATTCTTTCTCTGACCTCTTTTCCTTCCATCCTTCTCACCTTGGACCCCTGCAGTTTTAAGTTATCTTCTCTGACCTGCTCTTCCAGAGATTCCTGCATCCTTTTCCTTCCCGAAGCTCCTTCTGATATCCCCCCAAATCCAGGATCTGCCTCTGACAAGGCAGGGATGAAGTGGGCTCAGCTGTGGTCACAGAAGGTTTTAAAACCATATTTGAATTATGTAAGATATAACCATTGGATGAAACTGGGAGAAGGGTACATGGGATCTCTCTGTATTTTTTTTTGCATCTGCCTGTGAATCTAATCACTGCAAAATAAAAAGCTAAAAAGCCCATCTGAATTAGTTCTGATTTCATTACTTTTTCTGCAATGCATCAGAACTCCTACTCTCAGAGTCCTAGAGGTCACCTACCTCTGGCCATCTTCCTGGGCTACCCTTTGGCAGCAGGGTCAGTAGGATCTTCTGTTCCATGTCTACCATGATGGAGGTGGGTGGGGTAAAACTCAGCTCTGGACTGGGTTGAAAATGGAGTCTCCTTATCCTTGTTGTTGTGTTGTGTGCTCAGTCATATCCGACTCTTGCGACCCCATGGACTGTAGCCCACCAGACTCCTCTCTGTTTATGGAATTTTCCAGGCAAGTATATTGGAGTGGGTTGTCATTTCCTACTCCAGGGGATCTTCCTGACCCAAGGATAGAACCCATGTCTCCTGCACATCTCCTGCATTGCAGGCACATTCTTGAGTCATCGGGGAAACCCTTAGGTCTAGAATAAGCTCATAACAGGAGTTAGGCTAAGTAGATCTTTGGCCTACCCTCTCTGGTGTCCATTTCTCCCCCCAAAAAACATGGACTGCAACAGATGAGGAAGGTGGAAGGACAGGGAACCGTCCCATTGCTAGTATTCGGGCTGTACTATGTCAAATCGGGAATTGCTACTCCCCTTTGGGATGGTGGCGGGGATGGATACTGGTAATGTGTGAGCACAGCTAGCAAATACTTTTGCCTCCACAGCTAGTTTATATCTCTTATCTCCAAATATATTCCTCAGCCATGTGCTTAGAAGCAGCTGTTGAGGGGGATGCTACCCAGTGATGAGGAGGCCAAGTAGAATGAAGGGAGTGCTTCTGGGAAGTCCTACCCTTGGGTTTCTTGGCTCTTCTCTCTCTGCATCGAGGGTCCCTCGTCCTTCCGTGGGTGGAAGACAGAGCTCATGAACTGCTGCACACACAGATGTTTATTGCCCCCCCCAAGCTCCCTAGTATTCAAGATGCAGGGTCAAGGGCCAACAGGCAAAGATGAGGCTACTCCAGCTACTCCCTAGTTGCTGCCCTTCTTATCATATGTGCCAGCACCCTTGTAGCCACTCACGTAGCCTGAGTTGTCAGTCACATCTTCCCGTCCCGCGATGCCTTTCCCCTTGCCACTCTCGTCAAATCGCTCCTTGTGGGTGCCAGTGTACTTGCTGGTGTCCGTCAGCCGGCTCACCCCGCCCACCGTGGTCGCCTTCTGTGGGCCAGAGGGTGAGGAGCCTGAGCCTTCTCCCTTCCTTCCCCTCTACTCTCACAGCCCTTCTCTAGAGCTGGCCTTCGAGTAGTGCTATTAGCTCTCCGAGCTCATGTTCAACCCCTGGCATGGTGCTGCCTGCTTAGGGCTCAGGTGTAGATGAGAGGGGGAACCATGATAAGAGCCCTCCACTTGTGAGAAAGGAATCCAGGGCATGGGCATGAGTAGGGAGGTGTGTGTGGACTTTTCTGCTTCCAGAGAAGCTATTTTGACTAGGCTACAGCCAGAGGACTTCAACCCCAGACCTAAAACACAAGATCTGTCCTGCTGTGCTGGGCTTACGTCGCTCAGTCATGCCCAACTCTTTGCGACCCCATGGACTGTGGCCCCCCAGCCTCCTCTGTCCATGGGGATTCTCCAGGCAAGCATACTGGAGTGGGTTGCCATGCCCTCCTCTATGGGATCTTTCCAACCCAGGGATCGAACTCAGGTCTCCAGCATTGCAAGCAGATTCTTTACCGTCTGAGCCATCGGTGAATCTCCCCTGCCTTGCTGGGAATGCCCTATTTGAAACCCACAGTAGAGAGAGCTTTTAGTAGAGGGGGGATAAATAGGGAACAGAAAGGTGGGTGCGAGGCAAGATGTCGGATATTAGACCTTACATAAGAGGGTGAAGAGGAGTACGGAGCAGGTACCAGGGGCTCTGCACTCAGTGTCCCCCCAAAGCCACCTGGGCCTGGTGGCCTGGCCCAGATCCTGGATGCTTGGGAATGAGTCTAAGTTTTACTATTAAAATAGGTGTGAAAAGAAAAATAAGTAAATAACTAAAATTGCTGTGGACCTTGGGTAAGTCACTTCTTCTCACAGTTTCCTCACTTCTGAAATGACTCGATGATCTCTAAATTAGTCTGTTTCAGTACCAACAGTGCCCAGAGGCCTTCTGCCCCATCTCCGTGCTGCTGTTGACAAGGGCTGGGGACACCGACGTAGAGGAGGGGAGGTGGGAGCAGCAGGGACTCAGGGAGGCAGAGTCAGGGTTCGGAATGAAGTCTGTCACTCACAGTAACACCAGTGGTAGCTGGGTCCTTGCCCTCCATGAGCTTATAAATGTTCTCCAGGGCTTCATCCAGGCTTTTGCCCTTGAATCGCTTCTGGCCCAGTTCCTTCATCGCTTCCTGGAACTGTTGGAATGTGATGGTTCGGGCATTCTTGGCCCTGGTCAGTAAGACAGAAATCCAGGAACTGGGGAACATGAACTCATGGCTTTCCAAGGTCCAGCCCTCCCGTTATTCAGACGGGGCCTCTGCACGCTGAAGGTCTTGAGGTCAGGGGCTAGCAGTGCCAGACACCCAGTAGGTGCTCAGGAGACCCGTTACAAATGTTCTACTGCAGAAACCCTGCCACATCCCATGACGTTGCTTGTTCTATTCACCACCCCACTCCTGTCTTTGGTCCCTTACTTGACTTTGCTGAAAACGATGTCCACATCAGTGGAGGTGACCAGCTTGCCATCCATGATGCCACAGTCTTTGCACAGCTTGGAGAAGTTCTTGTTGTTCATTTCAGTGCCACTGCTTGATGATTCTCCAAAGACAGCAAACCGCTGGAATGTTCTTTCTGCTTCTGATGCCATGGTCAACTGGAGGTGGCAGAGGACAGTAAGGGGGGAGACTTGGGGGTGAGGGAGGAGGGGAGGGGAGGACTGAGGAGTAAGAATGATGAAGGTTAAAGTAAAATCAGAATCAGCAACAGGAACAAACACACCCGTCCGACCTACTGTTCCCAGTACGAGGGATACTAGTGTGGATCCTACACACTGAATAATCACCACTGCCAACCACTTCCCCACCACTTCTGTGTACCTGAGAGTGCCCGGATGGTGTCTGACCCTAACCAGCCTCTGTAGGTAAGTGTGTGCAGATCCGTGGGAGCTGGCTGGCTGGAGAGACTGGGGGCAGTGGGAAGGGAGACAGGGGAGGAGAGGGACGCTTCTGTGACCTCAGCAGTGTTTATGTGACATCATTTTCAGCCACTGTTACAGCTCTGATCTTGGGGGAGGGGGTCTTAGGTCCCTACCTTGCATGCTGCATTGAGCATGTTACCAACCTCCTGATCTCTGCAAGTGACCAAGCTTCCCTCATTGGTTCAGCCCTGTTTGAACCAGTCTTCTGGGTCCTAGTTAAACTGTATTATGCTCTGTCTCTCAACAACAGTTGAGGAGAGCTCAGGGAAGGAGTTAAGGGAAACAGGTTGACATCAGTCCAGCACTGTCCTTTTTTCGTCTCCTGGCCAGGTTAATGACCCACATGGAAAATCCCACTGGCTTTGGCAGACCAGGTGCAATAGGAAATTGAAACGGCTTCCAGTTTGGGCCCCACGTGGAAAGAGCATGGGTCTTGGAGGGTCACATACCTGGCTGGGTTAGGGTGAGGGTGAGCCTCAGACTCTCAAAATCTTCCAGATAATTTTAATTTTCTATGCAGGTCAGGAATATATTTTTTTCCCCATGCCACATGGCTTGTGGAATCTTAGTTCACTGACCAGGGATTGAACCTGGGCCCTTGGCAGTGAAGGCTCTGAGTAACTAGACCACTAGGGAATGCCCTCCCCTCTTTTTTTAAAGTAATGCTGTAATTTTATTCAGTTTTTACTACATGTGTTGTTTCTTCTTTCAGAAGGGGTTTCTCTTTGGCCTTTTCTCCGTCTGGAAACCATTTAGAGGAATGAACTTCATGGCTCCTAAAATATTGCCACTAGGTTGGTGACTTCCCTCCCCATCCCATCTAATCAGTCACCAATTTCTGTAATTTCCTTTGTCTTATAAATCCATTCCTTCCTTTCCATTCCTATTACTCCCACTCTTTATTCAAGTCCTTGTCATCTCATAT